GGGGAGCACAGAATACAATGGACAGCTTGCATGCGACTAGAAGATTTGAACTTCTGTCTTATACACGAACTAATGCAGTTCAAGACAACTAGCGTGCCAGCAACCTCTGCATCATTAAGCCTCAACATACACAAAGAAAAAACACAAGATCATCGTGGAGAACACCAACTCAATCAAATTCGATAGCAGATGGAAAGTTTTACGTACCTGGACGGCATCATAGATGAACAAGAATTATCTGATACAGACGTAAAAGTGAGGATTGGCAAAGCATAGACAGCACTCCTACAATTGATGAACATATGAAACTCGAAACACCTGTTGACCAATATCATACTCACAATTTTCAATACGTGTGTCAAAACGGTTCTATTGTACGGAGCTGAAACGTGGAGGACTACTACAGCCATCATCAAAAATATACAGGAATTTATAAACAGTTGTCTACGAGTGCATTAACCAGATACCATGAGCGACAGCCTGTTATGGAAGAGGACAAACAAGCTTCCATCTGAAGAGAAAATTTAAAAAAAGACGGTGGAAGTGGATTGGATATACAGTGAGGAAGTCCACAACCTGCATCATGAGGCAAGCGCCAATATGGAAAGGAAACGGAGAAGTGTAAGGCTGAAGTACACACTGCGTCTAGAATAAGAAGCAAACATGAAAATGATAATTAGCGACTGGAAAGAACTGGAAATGTTTGTCCAGGACAGAGATGGATGGAGAGTGCTCTTGGACGGCCAATGCTCCTCCACGAGGGGTTACTGAAGTAATTAGTAGTAATCAGTTAAATATTAGTTAGTATTATTCCTGTAATTGACAGTCACTATTCTTACTACATATTTTTATGCTAAGGTATAATCTCATTTACTACAGTTACTGTTGATGATTTGTATTGGTTAGATGAGGTAATTTTAAATTAGATCGACGAGTAGTATGTTGGTAATTCAAAACAGTCACATTGTCTGTCAGAACTTGCATTATTTTCTGTTATAACAGCTTGTTATATCCATTTTGAACATACATTTCTTATGATAAAAGATTGAATATGTTTTATTGTTAATGGAACGTAAAATATAGCTATTGTCTGCACTATAATGTAGAAACGGTAAGTAAAGACTTAATTCACCAAAACAACCATAAAACATGAATCATCTCGTGTATGAGATTAAGAGAGCGTTAGCATCTTCATGAAGAACATATACCACGAGGATAGTTATGCTCTAAAGTGTTATATTTTATTGTCTCAGTTTAATATCACTGCCAATATAATAACATTTTTTCATTAGTTACTTTGCATATAGAAATAAACGGATACATTCAAATCATAGACTTTAAACATCAATTTCTGTGGTTTTTTCTAAGCCCAAGATATATTTCATGCAATGACATCCTATATGCCAAATTACATGAAGACTATGTGATTACCTGGATCCCTTTTAATTTTGTATAAAAACATTAAATTTGTATATTGAATGTCGTTTGTAAAAAGGGTAGCTTTTTAAGAGACCTACATAAGGTAACAATTTATCTACAATAATATACCTCTAGCTCAAGTAAGAAAGAAATAAGTGAGAGACTGTGTAATCTAAAAAAGTCGTAAATGGAATTTGTAAACTGTTATCATTCGTTAAGTGAGCTGAAAGCATGACTAGAGTGAATGACTAGTGTTGACATAATTAAGTAAAATATGATGGTTTATATGAAGAATATTTATGAATAGCACCGGTGAAAGGTAACGTCAGACCATTAAGGCAGTGTTTGTTCATTGGCTTCTTATTGTTTAATGTTACTTTTAATTCATTCAGTTTTAGCATTGGTAAAATCGAACTAATATTGTAGTGAACAAAACACGAGTGGGGACAATCGAATGCATTTGACACGAAATTACAGAGCATCTCAATAAAATCTGAGAACCATATAGTAAATCGTTGATTTGCACAATATCAATCCATCATATCAAACTTGACTGTTCCTATTGCAAACATCAATCTATTGTCCCAGATTTTATTGTTAATGCGTTTTCATCCCAATTGCGTCCCGTTCCCATTCTTTCCTCATCGACCTTCTACTGAAATAAATTATATGCCTGACCACCGTTATATAATACGTGTGTGGATATAAGTAACCCACACCACAATATTAAGTAGGCCGTCATCATTTGAAAACGTTTATTCAAATATCACTGTGTAGCAATTTATTATATTAAACTCACTCAGTTAAACTGCATATCCCTTCATTAAAGAAACAAAAGTTGTTCTTTACAATCGAAATCTGATCATTCACAAACCTAAAGTAAAAAAACGATTAAGTATTCAACATTTGCCTAATTCTTTGCAATCAAACTGGCTACAGTGTACATAAAACAATGCCTAATAGCACAATTAAAGACAAGAAATTAACCTTTACTTTTCACCAACTATATAAACTGGTTTATATGTACGTATATTCAAAGAACAGAAAGTCAGCCGTATACGTTTTCTTACTGAGGAGTTTTCAAAAACTCTTAGATTTATAATTCAAAATTACTTTATAGTTGAATTGTCATTCAGTTGTTTCGTATGGAACAAAACTTGTACGAAATCTTATCATTCCACTTCATCTTCCACAAAGTATAATATTCACTTTATGCAATATGAAACTAAACATCACCAACTATTAAAATAGATAAATTCCAAATTAGCTACTAATTTCGGTATACCGGTTTCACACAACTCTTACTTAGATTTAGAATAAATCACTTTAATCATATTTAATTCTTTTCATAACTCAAATTTATTTGAAAGATGAAAACATTTTCTAGTTTGCACTACTTAAAATCAAATAAATAACTTGTAGCCAATTCATGAAAGTTAAAAGTCAATCAATTAAAACTATAATCTAAGATACATTTTCTTTTTCTACAATGTATGTATGTTACAAAATCTATATATATATGCCTCCTGATACGTTTAAATTAGTGCTTCATTGATCCATTTGCAATTGCCCTCCATAGTAGTTTCTTCTTCTGTGAGCAGATCTTGTAAGGATTAGAAACTAATGTTGAAAGTTATCTTGAATTCGTTGAGTTTGTCAATATCTCGTAGGAAGTCTTTATTGAAGATTTGTACTGCTGCTTGTCCAGTTGTCCAGTGCATCTCTAGATCCAGTTTCATATTGACAATCACCAGGTGGTGATGCGAAACTGTGTCATCTCCTCTCCTGTTTCTCACACATTCCATTGAACTTGTGAACTATTAAGTGATGCAATTATGATCGATCTGGTTGTGTGTGATGTGATCCGATGAGACACATGTAGCTTTATGTATGCGTTTGTTTGGTAATATAGTTCCGACTGTAAACATTTTGTTGAATGTTCACAAATTTGCAACTCTGTCAACATTCTGCTTCGTTTCTCCTAGTCCATTCTCGTGATCGGGTTGTATCTTCATAAGTGGTGTTGTCAATTCGGAGTTTGATGTTTAGGTGTCGCATCAGGATGGTGATGTCGTTTCCTGTGCACTTCGCTATGACCGATTGAAGCCTCTAGTGAAACTGATCTCCATCATCATCGTTGGTATCTTAGGGCATATTTCTAGTGGTTTAATTGATTTATTCTATTGAGTGTTCCAAATAATTCTCACTTAAATTTTGAACATATCACGTTACTCATATCTAATTCTTTACATAACTGATATTTATTTTTTAAAAATGAAAATATTTCAAATCAAATAACTAACTTGTTTCAATGGTTAAGATAATGAGTCAGTTGAAGCTAGACCACCATGAAAAACCTGGAAGCACAGGATGGCCGTTTTGTCGTATTATCGGACTCCTCAGCAGTGCGCATCCACGACCTCGCCTTCTGTGAGATTCGAATCCAGTACCTACTGGTTTCGCGCGCGAGCACTTAAACACTGGCTTCACGAGGTATATCCTGAATTTCTAGTGAGAAGAAGTAACCAGTGGAGTTCAACCAGGTCTGTTGTGAGATACCAATTCATTGAAGACAGTGGCGGATGTGTCGCTCAATTTCGTGGATTAGTTGAAGTTAGACATTAACACTATTGGATGCCAATTCAGTGGTCCAGTGGTTAAGCGTTCACGCGCGAGACTGATATTTCCTGGGTTCGAATCTCGCAGGAGGTATGATTGTGGATAGACAGTGCTGAGGAGTCCCACAATAGGACGAAACAGCCGTCCAGTGCTTCCAGGTTTTCCATGTTGTTCTAGCTTCAACTAATTCATGATCTTAACCATTGAAATTACTATAATATTCACAAAACCCATCTGATATTAAATCACTTTTTGTCAATTTATGAAAGTTAAAAGTCAATCAATTCAATCTATCTTCAATCTAAGATACCATTTCTTTTTCTACAATATATATGTATGTTACACAATTTCTATATCTTTTTATACAAAATGACATAACAAAAGTATTCAAATGGTTAAATGAAACAACTTTTCATGCCAATTTATAAAGTGATATACATTATCATTTTAAAAAATCAAATGTGAAATAGGTTTTCCATCGAATAGTTCATAAAAAATAAAACCAGTAAAATTATTGAAATAGAAATCTGTATCTGGGGCGGGGGAATAGATTATAAATTAAAAAATAATTGATTATTATGTAATAATAATAATAATTATTATTATTATTATTATTAATATTTACAGTAGAAACAATGTTATGTAACGAAGCATTCAAATTATTTATCATTGCGTAATCATCTCAACTATTTTTCCTTTCATTTAAATCTTATTAAAATAAATAGATTAAGAAAATGCAGTAGAGTAGAGTAAAGTATGGAAATAATGAATTATTTCCTCAGATATAAACAAACAAACGTATATTGTCGAAAGAAATCAACGATAATAATAATGGTCATATTATTATTATTATTATTATTATTATTATTAATATCACTTATGAACAAGCCAAAAGATTTCAGTTTTAAAATGATGAATAAAATAAAAATCAATCCGAAAACTTGTCTTTTTTTTCTTTTGTTGGGGGGGGTGAGGGTGTGTGTGTGAAGTGAATCAGTTGTGTCTGTTTTTTTTATTGAATAAATTTATTTTATTCATCTGAATAAAATGGTTCTTCATTTTTATAACTTAATCTTGATGGACGTTGACAAGCGACAATTTTTGGTGAAGCTAAATCTCTTGCATTACAATCACATGTACGATTTTTTGTTTCAATCATATATAAATAAAAGAATATCCAACAGACAATAACTATAACTAAAAATGGTAGAAATGAATAACCACCAATTGCATCCTTTAAAAAACAAAGACAGAAAAAAAAGAGAGAAAAATAGCGTTAAAGTAAAGACTGAAAGTGATAAGCTCGATCAATATAATATTAAAAATGGGATGGTTCATTAATTTAACGGTTATATATCATTATACAAGTTTAAAGAAATTTGGAATAAAGTATTTTCTTATACCGAGAATACAAAATGTAGACAATTGAATATTATTTCAGTAATCTAAATATAAAGTTCTAATCAAATCCAATGTTAAGACAAAATAGTTGCTCAATGCTTCCTGGTTGTCAATAGTTCTCTAATTAAAACAAACGCGTAATGTAAATTATGAAATTCAACGATACATGTTCACTTGAATGTATTTCATATTTTAAACAGAAATAGTTGAACAACTTTCATTAGTTTGGAAGAGAAATATGACATGTTTTGACAACGAAAATCCTACGTTACCACTAAACAGTATGGCTTGAATTGTTATCTTAATAACTGTTAATAACAATCAAGATAAGTTCCATAAGTCTAGGTGAAATCCCATAGTTCGTGGCATATATATAATGCTGATATTTGTAATCGCCCCTATGGGAATGGTCTGATTTTTATTTGTATCAGTCATTATAACATTTAACTCCACCTGGAGTCCCTCCGGGGGCTACTGCCGGTCCCAAACCCGGATAAAGGAGGAGGGTTGGGCATGGGGTTAGCGTCCCCATCCCGTAGAAAACTAACTCGCTAAAAAAACGCTAACCAGAAAATTATTCATTATAACATTTATAAGTGACATGTTTTTTACACTATGAATAATTTTTATTGGCATCGTTCATTATTTATAAATAGAATTTCATCATGAAAGAATGCGAATAGTCTTCTCATGATTCCAATAAATGATCATATGACAATTCGTTGTTCAGACGTTTACTATTTACATTCATATACTTAACAAATGTATGTCTTTCTAGTTGTATGTAATTAGTAAGTTAAAAATCAAAATACCTACCGTTTTAGACATAAAAATGTATTATGTAGTTGAATTGTAGTTTAAAAGATTTATCATTCTTTAAAATTTATAAGAGAAATAATCAATATACTAAATTCCTTAAGAGGTAAACTATCCGATTCAGAAGTGTTTTACTCAACTTTTGATAATGATATCTTATCTCTTTACTGATCGACAGGTAATCTTGTGAAAAATAAGTATTCTCAATTGACGTAACTTTTGAATATTGATGAAAATTAGTAAGATTGTTTAAACGTTTCTATTCCTCATAAAATCAATCAAAATTCACTTTCTCGTGAATGTATATAATCATTTCTTTCTTATTTTATATATATAGTTTGAGTATAACTATTATCCATTATGTTATTGTCTGAAATTGACTTTAATTTTCTATCAACATGAGATACATTTATAAATTAGCAGCCAAGGAAACTATCTAAATGATAATTCCTTGAATGATTTGGCTGATAAAATAAAATGTTATAATTATTTAATTGATATGGTTTAAGTTTTATATGTTTGGTACAAACGTATGAAATCGTTGTAATACGACGGTTCTAATCAATCACTTCGATTACTAAGATGTTTAACCGACATAAATCTATCATTCTTTGTAGCCTGATTCACAAGATTTGAGTGTTTCGTCTTTTTTCTTTGTAATGTTGCCATGCTATGAATTTTGGATATACTAATTTGTCAGGTATAGTTTTGATAATTTGGTAAATTTGACTCGGTAAGTTTAAGTTATAACAAAATGATGATTAAGTTACCTAATTCTACCTAGTAACGTTTGTGATTAGTACTAGCATATAACCTTATTTCTTTCGAAATAAATACATTTTAATTAGTTTAAATAGGTGAAAATAAAATAAAATTTTCATCCTTACAAACTTACAACAGTTTTCAACTATGTCATAGAACAATGGACGAAAACTCAGGTAAGGGAAAACAGTTTACCGTTTTATGCAAAATCGCACAGTGCCTTTATAAAATATATAAATCATGCATTAAACACGTATATTGCAAGTTTTTCTGAAGTTGTCCTTTACATATTCTATAATTCTTCTTATTCTCTCCTTATTCCGATTGGACTTCGTTTTCTTTCTTGTTCTCTTTATTTGAATATTTTGCTGGAAAGCATTTCACTCCCTATTCCTGCTACATACTACTTATATCTGTCCACATACAAAGTGCACGCCGTAATAGCATTGTAATCATTTATTAAATAAGTAAATAGAATATGTATCAGAAGTGAGATGTGCCTATCTTCGTTAGGCCTTTTTTCACATACATTCAGTCCAAACTTGTTATTTACGTTATTTATCTAGAATGTATACAACAGTCTTATTCAACACATCATAGTAATAATGTTCAAATAATGATCCGACTGAACTTGGGATACGGTCAGTGAATGAGTGATGACATTTTACAATATGACCACTTTTCCAGTTTTTCAGAGTCTGTGTTAAAATCTTATTCCAATTCATATTTTCTTCTAACTTAATACATTCAGAAACAGAAAATGTCTATATCATACTTCAATCTCTAGAAAGTAATTTTATTAACTTTATTACTTACATTAATGCTTGGATAACTGAATAACACCAATAAATTGCATAATAAGTTAACTCCTTGACTTAGAGAATAGGCTGCAGCTCTTGGTTCTTGCCTAAATATTTCAGCAACAATTACACCAGGAATTGGACCTAAACCTAAAGCAAAACCACATACATATAGAATTATAAGAACAGCTGAAATTATTCCAGCTGTTCGAGCTGTTGTTGGATCTTTTGTTGAACTTGCTACATTCACTGAAATTGTTAAAAATAATAATGAAAAAGCAAGAAGTACTGCTGGCCATAAAAGAAGAGTTCTACGTCCTGCACGTTCAATTAAATATACCGAAATTATAGTCATTAACACATTAATTGCTCCTACAGCAACTACACAAAACTGAATATACATCAATGGAATTCCAGCAGTTTTAAGCATTGTAGAAGAATAAGTGATCACCTGAAAGAGAAAACCAAATAAAAAAATTTAAATTTTGTAAAAATAAATGAATTTAATTATTTTGTTAACTTTCTGTGAATTATGTATTGCTTTAATTTTCAGCTACATATCTTGGTCGGTTTATTATCAACTATGTATTGACTTCTTATTATTCTGCCTGTATACATATGTGTTTAAACTAAAGAATATACAATGGAATAACAGCTATCCAGGTGATTTTGTCAAAAGATATCTATCATAACAAAAAATAGGCCGAATATCAATAAGGTCAACCATAAGACTCATTGTCTAAACCTCGATCTTAAAGGAGACACATCAGGTAACATTTTAATATGTCAACTGAAATGATCTGTTAACAGGACATTTCACGCCGCTAAGATATAAGTCATTACTTACATAACGAATCGATGATAAGCAGCAACGATGACCTCGTTCATGTGTCTTACCAATTCAACTGATCCTGCAGGTTTACTTACATGGGCCGTACTCAGAGTCGTTTATCATTGAGTACCTGTAAACAGGTACTGGCGCATTTGATAAAAGTTGTCAGGAAATCTTTTAATAACGTCACAATTTCCCACTCGGCATATAGTGAATATCATCTTAAAAAAGATGTAGCTTTCTCAGTTTTGCACCAGATTTCAGGTAATCTTCCTGAAAGAGAAAGATTACGATTTCTTCATACAATTGAAGTCGTCGGTTTCAACCTCTGAAGACCTTACTTATGTGTTCAAGAGAGATATGTTCTGTCTCTGACAAGTGGGTAGTCATTTACTACAACTGAACAATGTGAACCCTTTATCTCCTCCTCAATTCCCTTCATTCTTATTTTTATCCTGTTCCATTCTTAATTTACACATTTATATTTCCCAATTCACATAAATTTCTTACCATAATAATTTTGACAACACGTCTTTTATTATATGACATTATTATTATTATTAATATTGTCCATTGTTCAGGGAAAGTTCTACTATGCATTTCATTTATATGATTTATTTATATGATTTTATTGATATTGCATTGATTATACCTTGACACATTACAATCGTTTCTTGTCGACTACCTCCAACCACCATCTAATCTCAATATATAGTGCCCGCAGTGTCGAGTCACCTAGACTGGTGGCCACATTGCAACGTGATCGTTAGCATGTTTTAGTTCACTAGCATGACTTGTGTTAAAACTCTATAACACAACACAATAACGTTACAAAGTTCATTCTATTAACTTGATCATACATGCATGATATCTTTGATTTTCAAGTAGTGCAATATGAGAATCAATTTCTTAATCATGTTAACCAAAGGATTCATTCACTCATGAATATGTGGTTGATAAAAATCTACAATATCTACAAATGGAGTTAATTACTATGATTAATAACATTTCATCAGGAAAAAAATATTTAAAAATAAATGGGTTCAAAACTAACAGCATTAATTCCAGAAAGCTGTTGAAATACTTGTATGATACAAGCAATTAATACTGGCATACGTAAATCTTTCTGAGTGAAAAGTTTGGAAAATTTGAATTTTGATCGTTTTTCAGCTTCATTCATTTCTCTTTTCATTTCATCAAATGTTTCATCGATATTATCTTTACAATTAAGTCGCTGAAAGGCTTTACGTGCTTGTTCTTCTTTTCCTTTTTTAATAAATAAAAAACGTGGGCTCTCAGGACAATAAGGTAGAAGAATTAATGCAATTAATGCAGGAATTGATCCAACAGCGACAGATATGGGCCACAAAGTTGATGTATTTAATGTGTATGTTAATGTTGCTAAATAGGATACAAGTATCCCGATAGTTAAAGCAAGCTGATGTAATGAACCAATTCCACCACGAAGAGATATGGGTGCTATTTCTGTTAAATACATTGGTGCTATTCCCATTGATATTCCAAAATTTAATCCATTTAAAACACGTCCAACAAATAGTAATGCAGGTTGACTATATGCCACACATGGACCAACCATTATTCCTCCAGCGATTGCAAATAAACTGTTTACTATCAGACCATTACGTCTATTAAAGTAAATACGAGAACATCATTTTAGCGATTTTCTTAAAAAATAAACAACATGAAATAGTAAACATGGATGATATAGTTTTGAACTAATTCGAAAAATTTGAAGTTTTAGTCGCTGAAATGTCTCACTGCTCTATTCAACGTACAAAGATGTTTCAGTTAAGTAAATTTTCTTTTTGACGATGTCATTTTCTTGAGCTGTACAATCGTAATCATAAGTCATTTTTACAATGAGTAGTCAATAGTAGTATAAAGCAATCTTACGAAATTATCAAGTCTAGCCATACTTAATTAAATACGTAAAAAAGCTTATGAAAGCTGGGTAGTGTTACGTTATTCTATAACGCAGTTAAAGTATAATAACTTTCCAGAAAAGATGTGATTTTTTCATTTATTTAGTGCGCAAAATGTCTTGCAGCATGTCATCAATCGAAATGAGTTTTAACCACTTATAGATATATCATTACATAGATTTCTTCTAAGAACATTTGATCCTATTTAAAACACTAACGCAAAACTTAATCTTTATTTCATTCTACTGTATTATTTTCAAAATAATCAAATGTTAAAACTGAAGTCATTAATAAAGGAGGTCATTTGGATTAGACTTATTTAATGATTTAAGTTTATAATTTGCAAACAGTAAGTTGAATCAACATGATCGTTTAAATGCGTGCTATTAACAGTGTCAATCAAATAACCATCATAAAGTGTTAGCAATCTATAAGGTGATACTATAATTTATGGACAATTTTTATGCAGCGCTAAAATGACTTTGGATTGTTCACCTACTTACTAGGGTTAAATGAGGATTATAGATTAGTATGAAGAATCAGGATTAGAATTTACAGTTGAACGTTAGGGTTACGAATAAGAGTTAATGTTTTCATCACGAACTGATATCAGCTATAATGCTAAAATATTATTTAGCCAAATGAGTAAATCAATTTCGCGCCAAAATCCAAGACAAGCTATCATAAATCTGATTGGTTCATCCAAAATTTATAATCTCACCATCTGTAATCAAATTAAACCATTAGTTACCTTCCTAAACAATCAGCTATAGCACCACAACTGAAAGCTCCAATTGCACCAGCTATTACAAAAGCTGTGCTAACTTGAGCATATAAAAAACTTGGTGTCACAAGATTTGTTGTATTTTCAGCTACACTTGCATTTTTACCCAACATAGTACGAGATAAAAACTCCTTAATATGCTGTAAAAATGTAGAAATGAAACAAAGAGGTTTAAAAAATTTTCCGTGGTAAAATCCATGTAGTAAGTGTTAGATAATCAAGAAGAATATACTCCAAATAATCATGAATGTACCGAAAAGAAAACTGTTAACCATGAAATATTGTCTTAATCAAGATATTTCCAATCACAAAATCTAGGGTTGTGTGACAAAGCCTCTAGAGGCTATTAGAAGCAAATATTCTATATATTGTTTATTATAAATTGGATAAAGAACTATAACTGAAAATTAAATAACACAGATTATCTGGATTCCATGCAAAATTATTATTTGATTATTACCATGGTACCATAAATATGTCAATCAATAGTAATGACATAATTGAGACTAAGATTTTTATAATTTAAATAATCGATAAACGTCCAACATAGTTCTCAATAATTCCACATAATGTTTAGCTACATTTCAGTTCAGAACTAGTTCAATTTTTATTGCTAATATTACTTTACACCATCTCAGTAACTAATATTTAAATTAATGTTTTCTTGTAAATAAGCTTCTAACTAGTTAGTATCGTTTCATCTGTTGTAATATTGGATTACATTTCTTAGTAAACCTTTCGTTTCAAACCTTTGAATTTACCCAAAAAAATATGAGTTATTAACATATCAGTGTTGTTCATCCAAACATCCAGGTTGAAATTTAGAACTTAAACTGTAGTTTCTAATGAAATTTACACTTGAATACTTAGTCATCATACACTTTCTAGATAAGAAAGTGATGAGAAGTGCTAGATACAATATGTTTCTTGAACATTGAGGAACGGCAAAGTTGACATCAACCTATAATGATCAAATTTTTAATAAAAATATTATTCCTTTTATTCGAACTTACAATTACCAATGTTATAATCGTGCTTGATTTACGCCATTATTCAAACATACATTATGTACTAAGTCACAATTGTTTGATCACTGGGTGGTGATCAATGTCATGTGTTTCAGGTCATTCTTAATGCAAATTGAATGCTATAGACCAAGTTGTAATGTGGCCACTAGTTTAGGTGATTCGACGTTGCGTGCACTATGTTGAGATAAAATAGTGGTCGGAGGTAGTCAACAGGAAACCCTAAACCAAGGTTTCTTGCTACTTGGCACTCGTCAGCAAGGTGTACCTGTAATCTCCCTGACGGATTCGATAGCGTATCATCCGGCCTCACAGTTAATGGTGTTACCACTGGGCTATCGAGCCGCGACTGACCTACTGTAGGGTTGTGATATATTCACAATTGATTGATCACTGGGTAGGGATCAATGTCATGTGTGTCAGGTCCTTCGTAGTGCAGATCGAATGCTAATCATTTCATCGCTACAACACGCTAACAAATTTATTCGCCTTACAAACATAATCACTTATTCCACATTTTGTATAACGTATGAGTCTAAAGCTTGATTCTTCATTTTGGTTATTCATTCATTCGTCAACACTAATACAATTTGATGGATAAACGTCTGTCATAACGAGTGGCATATCCTACATCAACTCAATATCTAGTCAATCATTAATGTTTTATTAATGAATTCAGTTAAAATAGAATGCACAATTTAATCTTTCATTCTTGACCGATAACTTTACTGAATATTTTGAATCGTTTCAGTCATTTCTCCGGGTCATTTAAGGATTAATTAGCATGTTTAAAAAGTCATTTTCTTCATCAAACATGTAATTGACTTACCTCTCCTGGCAAATTTAAAATTCCTAAATTGTAACCAATTGTAAAGGATGATCCTAAACACGTCAAGAATACAGAGAGCGCCAACGACTTCGTGAAATTTTTATTCTTTTGATAATGTAAATAAACAAATAAACATCTTGGCAATTAATTTTTTAGTAACAAATTGATGTTTACGTAGAGATCGTTAAGAACTAGTAACTGTCAAACTGGTATCTCATTTTAGTTCAACAGAGTAAAATTAAAGAACCTCAAAGTCAGCACAATGTAATCTTTACAATTAATCTTTTTTAATAACACTCATACGTTTAGAGGTTGGTTACCTCTGGCTTTAACTAACAACAGTGACCTGTGTAGATAATCACGTTCAGACTTTGTTGATAATCCATAAGTGATAATAGTTAAAAATGTCCCGTGTCTCTTAATAACTGAAAATATGAACACTTAGATGCCAGTTTAGTAGGACAGGTTCCGATATAGAACAATTCCAACAATTTTGACAAAGATACTGAAATCAGCGATATCTTTCAGATGTTCACTAGCTACCACTAATCAGTTACGTTCATATTAGAATCATAGTAGAACTTGAAATTTCAATTCCTGTATGTCCTTAAAAGAATAACAGATGGTTCACTACAAAGATCAGTTTACAGAAGGCCAACCTAAACCTGTCACTACAATGATTTTTGAAATTGTGCGCAGTACAGGTGGATAAGAAACTTCATTAAATCGCTTTTATCTATGGCTTGACTAACCTGTACTGACGATATAGTCAAAGACAAATTGTATAAACTTCGACAGTTAATTTTCAATAATGTCTAACCTCCTAAAACCATCGACACTAACAAAGTCGGCGTTATAATATGAGAGACCAACTACAGTACTAATAAGGTCACCTTCAAAAACAATAAATAGGTCTTGAAAAGAAGATCTTCCTGATCTTCGAAAAAATCTTGTATTCTGTTCAAATTTGTACTGTCATTTTCAGCTATGCTTTGACTCCTAAAGGTATCAAGGATAATCTGTCATAATATTAATGAGCGTTTTTCGGTCTACATTCTCTTGTATAACAATATTTTCGCTTTTAGAAGCGAGCTCTTTTAAAACGCTCCCCTGGATATTGCCCTACCTGGTTGTTAAGTAGTTTATACAAGTATGAAACATCTCTTAAATTTTGGACACACTGCCACACCATCATCTTTCAAATTCATCAATACAGTTTAATAGAGGGAGGGTACAAATCAAAGACTTATCCTTTGCAGAGATCTTGCCAATCTATCGGTCAAAGCCTAAGCCCAGAATACTAAAGTGAAATATTCAGTCTCTCATTGTACTGTGGTATTAATCCCTTTTCAAATCTCCGTAACTGATTGTTATTCGCTGTTAGTGCCCTGAAAATTTTACTTTCCTAATTATTGGTTATTCGTTAATACAGCATTCAGTCATTCATTTTCTCGTACAAATCAAGTGAACATTCATGGCTAAACTATCAAACGCTTAGCATCACTGACTGTTTATTAGATCATTAAGTGACAAACACCTGGTATTCATTGTTTCAGGATAATTTTTGACCTAACTTCTCTCTATTTTCCAGTAAACTAACATACATGTCAAATTACCAGAAATACAATTATATAGCTTAAGTAAATGGTATTATCGAAAAGAATATTGCCTCCCCTTATGATTTATACAAGTAATTAACTATATCTTGTCATATTTCTCATTTTGTTCATAAGCAAACTTTAAAATGTCAAACATGAATGATAACGAAACACTGTAATTCTTGTTTAATATATATGCATATTCAAACCGGTAACGTAAGATTGTGAAATGACAATATGATAACTTGGGCTGATTTAAAAAAGGACAAAAACAAATCAATGGCATTTATGAAGTCACAACCTTATTTACTTCAAATATAACAGATATGAGATTAGTCTATCACTCTTTTTTGTTCTGATTACTAACATAAATAATTCGTAAGAACTGTCCAATGTTAAAATTTAGTATAGTCTACTGATGCCTTTCTCATATTATAGTTTAAAGTCATTGAAAAACTAATGACATGATAATCCTTAGTTAACAGGATTGTCTTTTAGAGTAAGTCTAAGTTATGAATGAAATCAAATAACACCCTTTAATTTCTACGTATATAAAACTGAGTGGTGTAAAAAAATGGATACACAGTAAGTAAATTCTTAATTTTGTTAGAATCATAAATACTGATATAATCAGTTTGCCCTAAATCTCAGTTACTTAAGTATAAATATGCTCTAAAATGTCAGTTTTGCAGCAAAATTTAAAACTGTGTAGAATGACTTTCTATTAGAAGAATTGGCTGTCCACATAGATTACAGTGAAGTATTAAAAATGTCATCGTTTGCAGAGCATAAAACTCATTCAGTATTTAATGTACAAATCGATGGACACAAAACAAGTTGGGTGAAATAATCTAGATGAAATAGCTAACTTCTTTGGAGTTATCTATGTTAGTAACGTAAAACTGAAAAAAGTATATATATTTTATCACTATGGTAAATACTGATAACTGTCAATATGAATTCAACTTGAAAAGATTATGATCTTGGAAATAATTAACACAGAAAAGAAAACGAGTAAAGAATATACAGTCACTTAGTAGTTAGTTCATTCACCAATCCATAGATACACAGACAACTATCAATCCATAAGCTTATGTAAAATACAATAAAGAATTACACAGTAAAAGATTAATTCGATTTTATAGATAACTAGAATGTGCATGGATATAGTGAGATTACATTACAACATAACCTATTAGCTTTTGCTGAAAATTCTGTCATTTCATCCATTGTTTTAATGAATTTGGCTTTAAATAGATGATTATTATATAAGCATACTATTCAACCGAGAAAATCCAATGCGATAAAGTACAAGTCGTTATGAGAATTTCTGTAAAATGAAATTCTTATCTCTTTTAAACAATCAATACGGATATTAATTTTAAAAATGAAACATTCCCTTGATGTAAATTGAGCAGGCATGATAAAGGCTAAAAGAAACTTGAAATGAATCAAGTTTTTGAACTGTTGACTTTCCTTTGATCATCTAAACCTAAATACTTCATAACTAAATAGTTTCCGATCTTAATGAACTATGGATATATTTAGTTCAAAATTGTTTTACATTATAATATTATTTGAGCACAGATGTTGGATATGTTGTCTATCATAAACTACCTTCTGAAAGAAATACAATTTTCATTAAAGACAACATATTCTATTGAATATTTATTGACTTCTTTCACAGCTGTTTATTATTTCGTTTAACAATGTTTACGATAATTTCTAGAATCTACAGTACTAGTCAACAATGAGGTAGTTGACAATAAACTGAAGCTTTTTTTATTTCCTGAAGAATTAGTTCCAATGTCGTTTCGAAGTACCATTGAGCGTAAAATATGTATGAATATCAAGATTTCTCAGACACTGTTTCATAATTTGTAATGGTTCTTCAGGATGATTTCTTTAAATCATGACATAATATGAACTATCACTCATTATCAAAATAATTTAATCGAGGAAAGATTAATAGATTATTAGAATCCATTGTTATAAATGACATCATTATTGTACTGATGTACTAACGCCTGATCAGTTGTTTATATTAGTTGGTATTACTTTTGATACTGAATGAGTAAGACATTGGGAAGAATAATCACTTAGTTATAGGTGTAAACCAATATACATTAGATTCAGTTTGAAAAGTAAAAAAACATCCTAATTTTGTGCATTTAATTCCTGGCATAGGAAAGATCTATGATTTCAGTATTGAAATAAATAACTTATAAATTGTAATACTTTCCCATTAATTTCAATAGTTGAAATCATGAGTCAATTAAAGCTAGACCACCATGGAAAATCTAATATGAGACTCCTCATCAGTGCGCATCCACGATCCCGCCTCCCACGAGATTCGAGACCAGGACCTATCAGACTCACGTGCGTGCGCCTAGCCATTAGATCACTGAGCTGGTATCCAACGGTGCTAATGTCTAACTTCAACTTCCTATTAGTATTTTCATAATCATTTGAGAAATATGGCCAAATTCATATGCAGTTATCTACATCATTACTCAAGTCACTCACTAAATCATTGTTATGTAATCTTATACATATAAAAAATATATATAGTTTCTAACTGGAAGAAAAACCAATTCATCACGAAAAAAATAATATTTACCATTTATTTAGTAAAATATAACCAATAGTTCTTGTATAATTCAAAGATTCATTGAACATAAATTTTAAATAAAATCTATTCAATGAAATGTACAATTCAATGAATAGTTCTTTAAATGTAATACATTTAAGTAAAATTCCATGATACTTCAAACTATTGATAAGATACTGAAAGGTTTCATTTATTATTTTATAGACTAGAAAACCATTTACGTATTAGGTAAACAATGATTATAACTAGTATGCTATATATATAAATGCATGAACAGTCTAATGAATTATTGAATGAAACCTCAGGGTATGAACATACTTTACAATATTGATTAAATCTATGTTGTTCATTTAACTTAGAAACAAAATAAACTATTTTTATTGTGAACTAAGTTAAGTTGAAATTTCATAATTCCCAATTAACTACACCCATAATCTTTGATTGATTATTTTAATTAGATTGATTAACTTTTTCACAAAATTGTTAATAAATAACGAATCTTATAAAACTAAGCCTTTCCTTGTGGCTTTTTGAGAAAATATCAAACATGTTTTCAGGAGTTTATTGTAGTTTTTCAATAAAATATAATCTCATATTGAATAGAAAACTTAAGGCAATATCGAGGTAATCCGTACAGAATGCACATATGCTAATAAGAGATTGATCAATTGTAGTTCTAAAACATCAATGGGAAGAAGATTCAAATAAACAATACAAAATGAATTAGATTTTCCAGGGTAAACATTTGAAAACTTACAGATCCCATAATCTTGAAGTTGACAATTTATTGTTTTCAATAGAATTAGATCGTTTATTTATTATTTGATTGAAAGTAGTGTAGATAATAATAATGATAATAATGTTTAACTTGAAATTTGTTAATAGTTAACCACACCTCCTATGATCAATGGTGAGTTACCATTTGTATTTGACTTTTATATATATTTGATTTGTGATTAAATAATAATTATACATGTTTATCCACATACATATACATAAACATCAGAATGAAATTCTTGAAAGTGATTCTTTGTTTCGTTGTTGTTGTTGTTGTTGTTGTTGTTGTTGTTGCGGTGTTTGTTAAACACTGTGATACACAATAGATAAACACGTGGTTTCAATCATTGTAATGGTTATCATTCCGTTTGCAAGTTTACAATTATTCCAAACAAAAAAACTTTTTTTTAACTGAAAACTTTTAAATTTAATTCACATGTCATTAATTTCTAATAGAAACAATATGAATTATATACGTGTAAAAGATGCTTGCCAACAAACTGAATAGAATATGATAATTATTATTGTTGTTAAACTTGATTCAGTAAAATTTCACCATGAATAAGTATTCAATGAATACTGTGTTCTAGTCAATTGGCTTTCGGGGTTGTTTCTTTTCCTCTTTGACATTAAAATTATAAACAAACTAAAATGAATTCATATTAACTCATTCAAATATGTAATCAAAAGTTTTTGGGTAACATAATATGGAATTACAATTGATTGATTAATGGAAATGACATATTTGTCTGGTCATTTAGTTTTGATTGAGTACTACTTATTGTACAAAGTGTAATATGATGACTAGCTAAATTTACTCGATATCATGTTTACTATGCTGAGATTTTATGTTATAGGATGTAAACAAGAAGAAATCATGAATGTAGGCTTCGTGCTAGAATCTAGGTAATTGATGTACCCTTAATCCAAGATTCCCTGTCAACTACATCCAATCACAAGACATGATGAAATGATCATATGTAATATTTTGAAATAAGTGTGTTTTAAACGCTCATATGTTGCCGCAAATATTATGTAACAAGATAATTTTACAATTTGTATACCTTGATCAATAATATTAATCTTGACATAATGGGGAATAACTCAAATCCACCAATTAAATAAGCGATGAACAAGTACATAATATGTATCATTATACTGAGTACTAATTAATTATTCATTCTTAATTGAACTTATATTCTGAGTTGTTAAGTAGGACAATTGTTACTTGTGTGAACATGATATAGTGATCAGACGTGAGTCCTAATTACCCTCTTAATTCTATTTCTAATTCATTAACTGAAGATAATTGAAACTCAGCATTCATCATTCCAGTAACAAAATATTTAGTTACTTAACCACAATAGGTGTGAGAGGCATGGATTATTCGATTGAATATTTCTGCTTCCTAAACTGTTTATAAATTTTCCTATTCATATACAGTCTACTTAGGTAATTAGTATCTACCAGAAAATCATAAGCATCTTTGGTATATTACACATGACGTTAGTGAAACTGATCTTCATCTCAGGGAAAAAATGTCTAATTTTGGAGACACTAGTAAAAATCTACTAAAAGCAATCTTATGGTTTTCACTACGAACTTAGTACATCCAGTTTCATGGCAAGCGCTTCACTTAGGGACCACAGAACTGCCCTTCTATGGCTTATATTTCTATCTTCTATCAGTTTTTTATACTGAGCAATCATATTTTAATGAGAAGCAGTTCTAATACTGAAAATAATTTTCGATTTACAAATTAACCAAGTAATATTCTACTGAATTCGTTTCCTTTTAAATTAAAAGTGTAAATCACTAACTCATGGTCAAACTCAAATGAACCATTATAACTGGAGACATTCAACAATTTACACTCATATTTTTCCTCTTTTCGAAAATCAACTAATTAGCACCATAATTACTTTGAAAATATTCCATAAGATTAAGTATTTATTGACTTTACGTTTGATATTAACTTAATAAAGACTAACATTTAAAACTTATCACCCATTAAATATTGTTGCTATGAATTTCAGTTATGATATGTAGAGGTTGACAATAGTACTTATACTAATCATACAATTAGAACATATTAAAATGACTATTAAATGAATGATTTCATTTCAAAAAGATTTTCAGGCATTATATAATTAAAATTATAGAACGGAATTGTAGTTTAGTAGTTTAGGCATTGAACTTGTTCTTTTACTTATTGAGATGTTTAAAGATCAACTCAGCATCCTTAGTTTAAACGCGGACTGCTAGAGTTGCAGATCCAATTCAAAGTAAAGGTTTAAAGTCAATTAACTGTCAACAAACTTATTTACTAACACAAAATACGAAGCCGCTGGAAAATGTAACAAATTTTTTAATAATGATGAAGTATGTATATGCCAATAGCAATCAGAAACAATCAAACCGGATTTAGATATAGGGCCACTTAAGGTCCATATTATCATTGAACGTCTTTATTCTTATTTAGATGAATATAACTTAGTTACTTTGATCGATTTCCAGAAACTGAATTATTTTGTAGCTTGAAATAATCCAGAAAAAGAAAGACAAAGTTTTCTTAATTGTTTGACAGTTATTTATTTATTTTGTCTTAATGAAATTTCAAATTCATTTTTGTATTGGTTGTTTAAGTCTTCCCATATATGGTTAGGACTACAATTGATCAGTCTCTTATTGACATATGTGCATCTTGCACGGATTGCCTCGATATAGTCTTAAGTCACAAGCATTTTCAGCAAAGATGGATAGTGATTAGCAGTGCAATCTAGAACGCGCGTTTTGTCCTATTTGCGACTCATCAGCTAGATTTGCCTGAAATATACAGTTGATGTTCACTCCGGGAACTCGGACCCAATATCGTTCGCTTCAAACGCCATCTCATTATCTACTTAGCTACTGCTTTCTGATAGCCACTATCTTGTGTAACGAGGTGAAGTTTTCACTCATTTTTGTATTGATTGTTTGAATCTTCCCAATGATGTTTGAGACTGCAAGTGATCAGTCTCTTATCGGCATATGTGAAACCTGTACGGATTGCCTCAATATTGTTTGAAGTCACAAGCATTATAAACCACTATCTAACCCTGCTTATAATGAAATTTCAAATTATTGCAATTAACTTGAATGTACTCAGTGGAATAGAATATTATTGAAACATACCTAAATTAATTAATTGATATACGTTAAGTCATTAAAATCAAATACATAAGATTCATAGAATTCCACACAAATACTTCATATAAAACAAAATAATTAAGGTATAATAAATTTAAATGTGGATTTTATTACATAATCTAATGTTATCAGAAGGAGTTTTGTGGAGATTATAGCAATTTCAATAGTTGAAGTCATGAGTCAGTTGAAGCTAGATCACCATGAAAAACCTGTAAGCACTAGACGGCTGTTTCGTCCTAGTACGAGACTCCTCAGCAGTGCGCACCATCGTTGAATGCTGGCCAGCTCAGTGGTCTACAGGTTAGGTGTTCGCGAATGAGACCGATGTGTCCTGAGTTCGAATCTCGCGAGGCGGAATCATGGATGCACACTGTTGAGGAGTCCCGTACTAGGACGAAACAGCCGTCCAGTGCTTGCAGGTTTTTCGTAGTGGTCTAGCTTCAATTGACTTATGATTTCAACTACTGAATTAATTTAATAATTATACTTTCCAAATTTAAATTATCAGGTTACAGAACTAAATGCCACTTCATGTTATTCAGTTTGTTACGGTCTAATAATATTAATAGACTTCACAAAAAGTTTCTGAACAAAGTCAATTCGATGAAACTGTTCACAGCAAGTGAACTAAATAATAGAGTTTTTATGATTCATTTCTGGTTCATCATAGCTATACTACATCTAATTTCGTATAAACTGCAATCATGTTCTTTAGAAATTAAATTATCATTGATCTTATCAGTTGGAATACAGTGAACCACATTTTGTAACTTTATCTTATTTACTATTGTGAGTAACTACTCAAAAGATAACAAAAAAAATTTAACACATCATAAAAGTTTGATAAATCTGAACTTTACTGTGCAAAACGAAGTTACTGATTATGGTATATATTAAACTTTGTTTGATAATAAGTTTCAAACATTCATTATTATTTCAGTTTACTTATTGTCCATATAGACAGTATTTTAGCTACTACGGTGAATATGCCTGAAAATCTGGGGACAAGAATTTCAGCAATGTGATAAAGGGTGGTAACTATAAAACCTTTAGCTATTGACCAAGATCCTGAAACAATCGAGTACTTTCGGCTTACCGATGGTGTGTTGAAAGTAAGACGTTTCTTTAGGATAGCCTGCATTTCTACTAAATCTGCGTTTTTCCTCTCTTAATGATAGATTAGAAAACGACGGTCATAAAATGTATGCCAAGTTTTGTCACATAGCTTAAAAACAGTGAAGTTATTTAGCAGTTTTAACAATAACACATGTTTTTAAATAAACTACATGCGACTAAATAGCAGACGTTCTTTATCTCAATATCTTATACAGCACTAAAGCTTTTCGTCCACCTGCTTTATTAAAATCTTATCTGTCGCGAGATAGCTGATGCATAGTTCTAACCTCCTGTTACACTTTCAGTAGTGTACCTATCCTATTAAGCACTTAGGTAATATCATGTTCATTGTGATATACATTTATATACTGCTACTAACTCAATCCATAGAGGAATATGTTTATCGTGATATCCGAAACTAGCATTAAGTAACTACTCATTACTCTTTGATTTTTATTGGTTCTTCACATAAAGACACTCTGTGATTATAGTTATCTTCCAGTTTAAAGTAGTCCATTGTGTGAAAAAAATGGGTAATAAAAATAGTTATTAAAGTGAAGAAAATGGAGAAACGGGGGATTGTAAAAGATAACAGGTATGTTATACCAAGAACATTTAAGAAGTGAAGGTTACTACATCATTAAAAAAGTATATCAATTTTCAATGTTCATGAGTTGTAAAAAAACCATGTTTGAGAGAATTATAGTCTTCAGTAACTTCTGTCTTTACGGTTATAAATCCATAATTATTGATTTACATAAAACAGTATGCTCAGGTATGCATATCGAGTTACAGTTGAATTAATAGGTGATATCGATTGAAAATACTGGATTTTAAGTTGATTATACCTTAGTTACCAAAAAAATACATCACTGGTAAA